GTTCGTGTCGTTGGTCATTTTTAGTGCTTTATATATATATATATATATATATATATATATATATATATATATATATATATATATATATATATATATATATATATATATATATATATATATATAAAAGAGTGAAATGTATGGACATAACGAACAGTATTCGAGCATTCGATCTCAAAAGTCCATCAATACAAATTTTGGAGCAGAGCAAACACAGACCTCTAAAACATCAAAGGTGGGATCAGGTGCCATGGAGGAGTTAGCATCCCCTGCCGACCGGTCACACCCGCCGTGTGCTCCTTGACATGTTCGAGAAATAACGAAAAAAAAACTGTCGACAATTCAGTGTGTAAATAATGGCCTAACAATAAGTATGAAAAAAGTCAGTCCCCATTTGACTTTACGATAAATTGTATTTGCTGAGAAGGTCATTTATGGACCATAGAACTAACGAAATGACGACTTTAAAAGAAACTGCTGATATTCTTGTTTCATCAACTTGTTTGTCAATAACTTACCTCATTTTAGAAATTGTTCATACGTAGAGCATGCTCTTGCGTATCGAATCAACTGAGAGATATAAACCCATTATGCAGGTGATGAAGGTATATTGCTGCATAAATAAGGGAAGCTGATGATTGTAAAGTTAAAGTCATCATGTTTATCATAAAGCTTGGTTTTAGAAAACCATTAATGTCTTTTTCTAGTAAAATATCCAAATATGAAACAGATGTGTCAGACTGTGGTATCTTTTATTTCAAGCTCGCTGGGAGAAGAACAAAACAATATTTATTTGGTGTCAAGATAGACAAATAGCCCTGTAATCGGAATGTTATGTAGCCAACTGTAAGGGGAAAAAGGCAATGTAACATAAAAATTTTCAGCTGAAAAATGCTGTGCTTTCATCACGGATACGATTGACGTAATATGAAATTAAAGAAATTTTGTTTCTTCCTTTTCATTGATTAAAAAAAAATAATGATAGAATTTGGTACTCATAAAGAAATCACAATAGATCCAATATTCTCTTTTTCTGTTTCTAATTAAAACATCGGGATCGTATCGCTCGTCATTTTGACGCATTATTATTAACGTCAAATTTGACCTCACGTTTCATTGAAATCGCAAGAGTTATCTCCCCCAATGTGTTGTACGTCTTTAAAATGCAATTGAGACATATCATGAATTTTTCAATAGCATTCTTGTTTTTTACATGCATTTTAAACTATAACGTGAAGTTTATGAAACACTTCTCGTCATAACAGCTCAAGTTTGCAGTCATAGTATCCATAATCCTCTGTGTCTCCGCACACAGAGGTTTGCAGTTTGGTTGGTAGAAACATAATCTGGCGGACATTTAGTTTGCAGTAACTTAATTTTTTATGGGAGCTGTGGGAGAGTGTGTTTGTTTTGACATTTCCTTATCTTTTTCATAAAAACTATCTTGTTTTGTTTCTTCTACGGCTTATCGTTTTCTCTACATTCTGCACAAAATCGAAAAGAACTTCATTACCGGTTTCTACTCAGAGAGAGAGAGAGAGAGAGAGAGAGAGAGAGAGAGAGAGAGAGAGAGTTTAAAGCTTACATGTAATTCTGTATTATTTTCTTATCAATCAGTGCCTATATTTCTCTTGTAATTAACTCTTTTGACATGACGAATTGATTTAGAGAATACTTTTGAAAAAAAAAAAAATTAAAAATAAAGGGGCGTTATTTCAATTGAATCTTGGATATTTTACTTTAATTTGTTAAATGAACAGGCGAAAAGTAACATGACAAGGACTAGTGAAGCATGTTTATATATTTTTACTGTACCTGCCTGATTCACATGACAGTGAATGTCCAAAAATTTCCATTTTGACAAGGAGGTATATTTAGAAGCAAAATATTCCAAGGATTGCTGGTATTGTTGCACAAAAATATACACAGCCCAGATTTTTTATCATTATTTGTAAAGTATTAAGTTGAAACAGGGTAAAAATGTATTGTCTGGCATGTTTCTTCAAACCTGATCAAATGAGAAAATGCTTGGGATTTGTGGAGCAGCTTTAAAAATCCATAGAAAATTCTTCTTAGCATTATACAGTTTTTATGCAAAAATTAAATATTAGGATAATCCCTTGCGCCGAAGCTTTTTTGTTGTTGTGTATTATTACCTCCAGTAGGTAAGAAAAATAAAGTTATAATATGTCGTCATGATGGGTACTGGCTATAACATATCAAGGGTACTAAGTTTGTTTAAGAAAATAACTCTGAGTCATAACTGTCATATGCGAAAACCTAAATCAAGATCTTTTGCCTTGCTCTTTTCTGCATTCAATCCAGCACCCTAATTTAGCTATGACGTCTGTAGAGGGAAACTTGTCTTATCCAGATATTGTGTATTCTGAAATCGTGTTTAATACGATGCAATTTTTTAACCCCATTCAGTAAATTCAATTGCTTCAAATGTGTCTGATCCAAAATGTTGTATAATCCGCCAAATATCTATGGAACCAGTGGCGTCCGGATTAGACAAGTTTTACTGTATATTTCTTTGAATAGCATGACTCTTTCAGGTACTCTTAAGACAGTGTGGAAATGGTCGAAATCAATAGCATCAAAACGTACGACTTTTCAACACTTTATATCATTTAACCATTCTACCATTCAACACAAGTAATTAAAGACCAGGCTTTTTTGAACATAATAGGCAACTGCTTTTTCAATAAAAACAGAACTCGTAATTCTACAATGTACATACTTTGTAATCGGTCATTTCTGCAAATTTTGTTAAAAAAAGTAAATCCTTAGGAGAATTATTGCACTATTGTTTTTGTATTTACATGTAAATGAAGTAGAATGTATTAAAAAAATTCTAAATGAAAAGAAGAATGGAATGTAAAGACTACGAACAGAAATCCTTTTCAAAGTCCAATCAAATACAAAGTTTGAGAAGAGCAAACACATACCAGGGAAAGCAGAGGTGATATCAGGTGCGATGGTTTAGCTTTCCCTCTCAACAGGTCACACCCACAATGTGCTCCCTGTCATGATCGGGTAAACGGAGATGTCTAAAATAAGAACTTTATCATAAAGTTCAGTTGTTAGTTTGCCATTAAAATCTTTCTCTAGTAAAATACAATGTATTCAAATTTGAAACAGATATGTCAGACGTGATTTTTTTTTTTAATTTCGAATTAAAAACACAACGTAGAATGAAAACGAATATTGTTATTTGCAATTGATAAAACGTCGTCGATATATCTAAATGTCAATTGAAGGCCACAGCAGGAGATTTCTTTGCCTTTCAGATTTTATTCTATTAAGAGTAATCCAGCTTATACTCTATCTCATAGTTCTCCTTCTAAAGATGAAATTTTTTAAAACTATATGTCAGTTTTAAAAGCCACATGTCAATATTTTTAATAACAACTAAATTGAATATGAACTACCATACCTCTACTGGACCCCGAAGATCTAAAAAAAAAAAAGAAAAAAACAAAAAAAAAAAAAAAACAAAAAAAAAAAAAACAAAAAAACAAAAAAAAAAAAAAACAAAAAAACAAAGACACATCAGAGGTTCCTAGCAAAGATTCTAAATTCTTTTGTTCATAGCAAAACATAAACTACCATGAAAATCAAGGATTTCTAGATATAACTCGATAATATCATTTGAACTATAAAGTGATAAAATACACAAAACGATAGTATAAATTCATAACAAATAATTAATTAATATTTACTAGATATTAACGTTGATTTGAATCGATATCAGTTTTTTTAATACCATCAGAAATTTATGAATAAATTTTTTTATTGGTACTTAGGAATTAGGGATTATTGATTTTTCACAGTATGCTGATAAACATACACATATAAGTACATGTATATCTATCTTTCATTAAAAAGCTTTAATAAAGTTTATATTTGGAGAAAAAAGGTATATTAAATATGTTTGTAAGAAAAATGAAAGAAAAGGTATATGAAACATATGAAACATGTTTGTGATAAAAATGAAATATCTCATATTAATGACTAAAATTAACTGAAAGTCTGTGATATATATATATATATATATATATATATATATATATATATATATATATATATATATATATATATATATATATATATATATATATATATATATATATCTGCCTGTCTTTCTTCTACATATTTAAAAAGTCAACCAATTTGAACAATTTTTAATCTTTTTTTTCTCATTGAGGAATTGAAATCCTTTTCATTTTGATTTTTTTCTCTCTTTTTTTTTAAATCTACATTGCATTGACCTAAAAGTGAGAAATTTATGCTTTCCAAAAAAATTTTTTTTTAAATCTTTCATATTTGCATAATGTGATTTGTATGATAAATGACGCTAAAAATCGGTCCAATGTCTGAATAGTCATTATTCACAGCTAGAATAAAAATAAGGTACTGTATTACCAAAATAAGAAACTCCCCTTCTTGGATCAAGCCAAGGCACATCTATATAAATATAACAAAACGTAGATTTCGCATGTTGAAGACAACTATTATTGACATTGTTTAAAGATAAATTTTCCTGGTAAGTCCATTTCCTATTTATTATTTACTAATTATAGTTCTCGTATTACTGACTTTTTCTATTTATTGTTATTATCATTATTATTGCATACGTGCATGTGCATTAGAATATCGAGCTTTTATATTATCTTGTTAACAAAACTGCAAGTGATGCCCTCGTTGACAATTCAATGTTTTATTTATATCTTTAAAACTATAGCTTATAAGTATAAAAATGTAAAAAAAAAAAAAAAAAAAAAGTCATTCCCTGAAATTGGTTATGGGGTTTTAGCTATCTGATATAATTATAATTATCAGTATAGGAATATCTCTCTATCTCCCTCTCTTTCTGATACGTAAAAAAATACAAAATAAAATCTACAAAAGGGAGAAAAGTTGGCCTGTGGCCTAAGACAACTAAAGCTACAAAATATTACTTTTTTGCAGTTTGAGAAGTCTATTTTGTCAACAAAAAGATGAACAAGCTTATCATTGTTCTGTTGATCACCTGCATGGTTGTCATGGCAGATAGTAGTATGTCTTTTTTCTATTATTTAACATGTTGTGAATATATAAACTTATCTGAATTGTTTGACATTGTGTTATTTTCCTCTTTGAAACTACAGAAAATAAATTATATGTCATAATTATCTTGAATACTAATCATTATTTTGTACTACTATAAATGCGTGAATAATTAGAATATTAGGAATATCAAAATAGAAGTGTCTACAAATTTCTTTCTTAAGGAGGGACTCTTCACATATTTATTGTATTTAAAAATTAATGAAATTTTCATAGATTCAAGGAGACATTATCACTAAGTGATGGTATCAATTCGATTAAATTTGATCGTTTTATTTTAGAATCAAGGTCAGGTCAAGGTCATTATATTTATCCTGGACATTAAGAATAGAAATTATTGTTGCCAATCATGCGATGCCTACGAGGGGTTATCAAAAAGTTCGTGGACTGATGCGATAAAATTAATATTATGTAGTCTGTGCTTACAAAATTTATAAGGAACATAAATCAACAAAAGTTTAAGAAATGTTGAAAATTTTAGCTTGATACGTTGACAATTTGCCAAATTACTCTAAAATAAAAAAGACATTATATGATCACCCGGCGCTGTCGCCGTTTAGTTTCATGACGTCCGACAACGTCATTGTTTTTCAACGTCCGCTCCGTCTACCTTAAACACTTATGTTGATGTGATTACCTGGAGTTAAGTAAGGACTTAAGCCCGTCTTGTTTATATGACTCTACAATGCCATGAACAGCTGCTTTCAATGCATATGATATTGTAAATGAATCCATAAATAGGGAAAGATCCTCACTTCATTATGCCAGAATACTTCTAAAGCTTGTTCATTTTCTACCACACATGATTAACGTCACTTTTTGACGTGACAGACTTTTGACACCCTGACTACAAATCGACATTAACTGTGCATTTTTCATCTCTCTGAATCTTTTTGGGTATTTAAAACGAGTACTCTGGATGCATTTTATTTTTCTTCAGCCCGTTCAAACATTCCATAGATCTATACCAGTTTTTCCAGGTGCGAAACTTTATAGAATGTTGGAAAAAGAAACCCCTCTCCCTTGTTGACGTCATTTTCAAGCCTTTAATTGTTTGGACACTCCATATAAAATTTACGATTAAATTTCATAGAATTTACAGAATGGGGTAAAAATTACAGATTTTACGGAACAATTGTGTTGTGCCAAATGCCCCAATTTACGGGATTTTTTTTTTATGACAATTGCTTATATCACAAGAGATTTTTTTTTTCAGTTACACTCAGGTAGGAAAAAAAAACGTCATGTTTGAGGTTGCGCCGCCTGAACATACCATTGCTTATAAAAACATTATCAATTTATTAAAAAATATAACTTATGATTTATGGTTTATTCTACAGATAGAAAAGATGATGCTAACTAAATGTGTAAAAATTCATTGATGTACCTAAAGCGGTTTTAATTTTATGGCGCTAGTCCACGAACTTTTTGAAAACCCCTCGTACTTCTATTTCAAAAGATTAAATGTTTTTTCTTGTTGCATATAAAGATATTACCATATAGGGTTTATCTGTTGCATATAAAGATATTACCATATAGGGTTTATCTGATGATACTACCAAATTAACATAAACAATTTAATAAAATAGGTATTAGCTTATACGAATTTCCTCTTTTTTTCTCAAACTTTTTGGATTTTTTTAGTTATGTTTACATGCTTCGCATATTTGAATTTTTCCTCTTTTCATATATGGTAAAGTAGTCATATAAAAATACAAATTGACACAAAAACAAAAAGTTTTGACCATTTACTTAGAGAGAAAAAACACTTTTACGGATTTTTTGCTCAAAAATGTACTTTTAAAGCTAAAAAAATGTAGTTTGTTTGGAAAATCGTATTTATTTGATATATTTTAAAACTTCAATCCATTGCTATAAACTTTACATACATTTGAAAATTTCTTTAAGTCTTTGATTGTTTAAAAAAATTGAACTTAATTCATTGTTCTGTAGTAATTTTGAGAAGCAGAAAAAGAGATATTTTCAAACGCCGCCGTTCCGCCAAAAATATAGTCCCTGCTAGATTTAAAACTCAGTTTACCTTTTCTATTCAAAGTTGTACAATGATGATAAGGGAAGAAAAATATAATCTTTTAAATCCCTTACATCTAAAAGTATAAGTCATATAAGCAAATATACTTTGAATATTTCATCTAGTCAGAAACCAGACCAGAATCCCTCCTTAATTCATAATAGTTTTTAAATGATACAATCCAAAACTTTACAGAGAGATCCAAAAAAGGCCGAAGCGGAAAATGTGACTACAAAGGCGACAATGGAGACAATGGCGACAATGGAGACGATGGAGATAATGGCGACAATGGAGACAATGGAGAAAATGGCCTTTCGAATGGCTTAACAAATGGAGGAACCAATGGAGGAACAAATGGAGGATACAATGGAGGAACAAATGGAGGATACAATGGAGGAACCAATGGAGGAACAAATGGAGGAAGATAAATATGAAGAAACGGAAAAGAAAATGGCATGGAATTTGATATGCATTGAACAGTGAAACAAGTATATTATAATCTGCAACAATTACAGAGATTTTGCAAATAAATTACCAGTAGACTGATCCTATTATTTTTATTTTTTAAATTTTGTTTTAATCCCTCTTTTTAAAATTAAAAACTTTTTTTAAAAGAAAATTTGATAATAACGGTAATTAGTATTATACACGCATAAAGTTTTTTCCCGAAAAAGACGCTCCGATAACTTTTTGTTTATTCACAATGCATTTGATGTACACGTACTACATAAGTACTTTAGGATATGAGGCTCATATTGTCATATCAATGATATTTACTCGGTATAATAGATGCAATATATACACAGTAATCAAAGTGTACATATTATGTCCTGTATATATATTTCATGTCTGACGCAATTCTGCATGCACTGATTCATTATTCATTAACACAATCAGAATATGATTCTAAGTAACCCTTATGGATACTAATTGTGCCCAATTATTAGCTGTTTTGTCTTTGTTTTGTATTCTTATAAAGAAGATTTTATTCAAATGATTCCAAATGAAAAGAAGAAGCCCCTGGCGTGTCGCTTTCAAATCGATATTAAAATATTTCGATTGTGTTTTTTCAATTTACAATATTTATTTTTATCCAAGTTTTGAAGCTTGTGGGAAAATGTATCTACAATCTCTTAAAATGTCAAACTGTGCTCATTCTATGGACAACAGAATGAACATGTTTGCAAATACAACATTCTCAGGACATTAGCAATTTTGTATGGGGTAGCAACTTCTAATATTTCGTCCATAGAAAGACGGTAAAGGAATTTACAGGTCGCTCGTGGTTGGAGCGTTTACAGGGTGCAGTGGTTAGAGACTTTGCTCTAGAGTCTCGGTGATCGTATAAACCGAGGTCCCGTTTGACAATAGGTGCTGACACAGAAAGGACCCTCACTGCTCAATGGCCCTTAGTGCGGGGTATAGGTCTAAATTCCTTCCTCGGCAAGTGGTGGCGTCTCCATACATGCATGAGTGAAAAATTCTCGAGTGGGACGTAAAACAATAAACAAACGAACAAACAAACAAATAAACGAATTTACAGTATCTTTGTCAGTAAGCTTGAACTTGAGTCAAGGCGACGAAACACTCTGCATGTTATCAGTAAACCCCTTCTTTGTGTTTCTGACAGAAGAAGTTCACTAATATTTATCCAGACCATACATTTACTCAAAGCATGTTATCCCTCCCCCATAGTCGAATTGATTAAGTTCAACTCAAAGGTTAAGAGGTTCATTGTAAATGTTTTTGTCCAATTTGGTTATTGACAAATGTCGACGTCTCTGGGTTTCTGCACTGGCCTTAAATCTGAAAATCATCTTTGTACAAAGGAGTACAATGTGCAATATGATACGCTATCACATCATGTTTCATAACGCGGAGCACATTGTATGCATTACAGCAAGATAAAAACATATTTAATTCAGTATCTATGTCTATTTATCTATGCTGATTTCATTCGGAAATATAAAAAAAAAATATAATATTAAAATTATCTGAGTTTTTTAATGTACAGAATAATGTTTTAAAATTAAAGTCCTATCTCAATTTTCACCTCTTCAGAAAAAAAACTGGGGGTGGTACTCCCTTCACCATCATTTTTGTATATTTTTGCTGGACTTTGCCTGTGTGTATTCCTACAGCAACAAAGTATTGGTATGGGGTCAAGCAGCATCCAAATCAAAATTTATATAGTAAAAGTACAGCAAAAGACTATTCTCAGAAAAAGTGCCCTCCCCCGTGAACTACAGACCTGCAGAAAAAAAATGCCGACCCTACATTCAGATCTAGAGTCCTAGGGTACCAGGAAAAAGTGGCAAGAAAGAGGACTTATATCGGTTTATTTCAGCCTTTAACTCGTGTCAAGAAATGATATTCTCAATAGTCTTTTTTCTTTGAGTTCATCCCAGTGACTGTAAGATTCCTAAATGTTTTACGTCCTGTTCTGTTCTTTGAAAATGTCAACATCTTTGAGTTTCAGCGCTGGCATTAAAGCCTGCGGAGCAAATTATCTGCATTAAGATTAATTCAAGTAATAAATTCAAGCAATATGTAATCAGTATCTGTGTTTCATTTTTCATGTTATTTCATCAAGAAATATGAAAATTTAATTTTTAAAATAGTATTTTTTTTTTCTATGAACTGAATAAAGTATCAATTTAAAGTTCTATCTCAATTCTCATTAAAAAATAATGACAAACCCAAAGATTTTTTTTGCCTAGCAATTTTATTCAAAAAGCAATTGCAAGTCATATTTCAAACATCGAAATTAACAGGCAAAACATTTTTATAAGGATACCAGTACTTTCGTTTTGAAACTTATGTTTTGACTCAAGTCCATAGAAATCAATTTCAGGGTTTTTTGAGGGGAAGGGGGGGGTCAAATTTACAAAAATTTTGAGAGTGGTTTTGGACGTGAAAATATTTGAGTGTTTAACCAAGTACGCATCGAAAAATACTGATAAAATTTAGAACTTCGAACCATCGCCTTCCAATTGAGACTAATAGATGGTCAAATATTCCATTGGATGAAAGACTGTGTACATTATCTTATTCAGATCAAATAGCAGACGAATTCCATGTAGATCAAATAGCAGACGAATTCTATTTTCATTTAGAATGTAAGACATTGAGTAGTATTAGGAGGAATCTTTTACATCTCAGATTTTTTAAACGACAAATATACTTAAGTGTACTGAATTTATATCAAATACGAATTTTAAATCTTTAAAAAATCTCTTCCTATTCATAATGTATCTAAAATAACGCAGTCTGTCCTTTGAACTTTTATTTGTATTTATTTCTTTTCTTTCTGTTTTCATTTTGTTTGTTGCAATATTTTGTACATACACAATCATACCAAGACTTTATTATATGCCATTGAAACTATCAAACTAAGCTTGCTTTAGCAAAAGAAAAACTTTTGCATAAAAAGATTAGTATAATATCTGACATTTACATTGATATACAATATTCTATAGGCTGTTTTGTTCCTGAAATCTGAAATTTTGTCACTCCAAAATCTGTCAATTGCAATTTGGATGTTTTCATTCAAATTTTCAAAAGAGGTAAGTTTCATATAAATTATCGTTCAAATTGTTCAAAATCAATTTTGAATAACTAACTTTGTTCTAAAAGCTTATTCCATAAGTTACATTTTCCCGCTTTTTCTGACCAGAATAAGATTAAAATACATGAAGGTATGAAGAAAAATGACATAATATTTAATTTTATCAGGCATGGGCAGAATTACTTGAAAATGTAATCCATTAATAATCAATTACTTAGTAAAATTTGTGTAATCGATTATTAATCAATTACAGTCACTTTGACCTGTGATCGATTGCAATCAATTACTCAGGAAGACATTATCGATTAATAATCGTTTACTTCCATGTTTGTCCCTAAAATATCAAAGCAGAAAAAAAATACTTATACGCAACATGGTAATAATGACATCCACTGAAGTTTGATTGTGTCCATGCAGTTTCAGTAAAAATTCTGTAAAAGATTTTTTTCTGGTTTTCGTTCATATTTAAGACGTAACATACCCACTAAATATTTAATAAAGGGATTCCTTAATTACCATGAAAAGTGGAAACAGGATTACTAATAACAATGAAATGCTCTAAGAAATCATTTATTCCTTTCAACTTTGGATCTGACTCATATTCATTGACTTTTGTTGTAGAAATTCTTTATTACTTTTTTGTTCTTCAGAAGTATTTAGACTGTTGCATCTTGACAGTTCACAAAATACATTCATGTGCTTTGTTTTGAAAAATATTCTATTGTTTGTTATATAACATTTTTGAATAAGTTTTCCTATTATATCACAAATGTAATAAGTTTCACTATAAACCCTGAAGAATGCTGAATCACACCGGAAACAGTTATGTCATACACCGGAAACAGATATATCACCCGGCGAAAACAGTTATAACACCCTCCCGATCACTTTCACGTGTTTTTATGTTACGCATTTGTAGCTCGGGTTCGACATTTCATGACGTTGGTTGCTAAGCAAACGTACACAACGGAGCGCAATTATTAACGTCATGAAAGCATTTTTCGATTATTTGCCTAAACTTCAATAATTCTAGACTATTTATTTAATTTAAAAATGTTATATAACATATACCACATGACTTCTCGGGTGACAATACCAGAATGTTTGCCCCTCGGTGAAAGGAAAGTCCTGGAGTGTTATGTCACCCTCTGCCTTCGGCATCGGGTGACATAACACTCCAGGACTTTCCTGTCGCCTTGGGGCAAACATTCTGGTATGTCACCCTCGAAGCCATGTGATATATGTATTATGTTCCTGAAATCGGAATTTTAGCCACCCCGGTTTAGAAAAAAATAATTAAATTAGAACTCTTAGTAATCTTTTATGACAGTCAAAGTTATAAAGATTAAACATTTCTTTATTAGAATAAAAATGACATAGTCAACGATTAACACTGAAAAATGAAAGGAATATAGACAAAGGCTGAGAAAATATTTAGATAATAGTAAAAAAAAAGAGGTTAAAATCAGAATTTAAAAAAAAAGGGCCAATAGGTGAGAAATGTTAACAAAGAGAAACTTCAACAAAAGAAAAGACATGAATTAAAAAGTACAGAAAACAGGAACAGATGTTGCAGAATACACAGTACAGTTAAAGGCCAAATGGAAATATCGGCGAATTTTTTAGACAGAAAATACATTCTTTACAAGCATGGGCGGATACAAGATTTGTGATTAGGAAGGGGGGGGGGCGTGGATAACTTTGTTCAGGCAGGGGGTCTGGAGGCCGCCTTAAGGCCCCTAGTGGGTCCAGGGCGAAGCCCTGATAGGGGCCCAGGGGGCGAATCCCCCGGAAGCTCCTGGGTTTTCGTGTATTTTAATAGTAAAACCAGGCACAATAATAGGGGTATTGGTTAGTTTA